ACACCCCTGATCTACACACTATGTTATTTATTTATTTATTTATTTATTTATCTGATTTATCTGATTTATCTGATTTGTAGACTGCCCCATGTGTAGGGCTCAGGGTGGTGAACAACATATTCAATAAATACGTTTAAAAATCAGATTAAAACAATTAAAAACAATAAACAAGTTCTATAACTATTTCAGATGGTGCTTAGAGGACCAATTTATGTTCTTACCCTATGACAGGAGAGGAGATAAGGGGGAGGCCAGGCTCAATGAAACAACATTGCTGTCCTCAACCATAGGCCTGGCAGAACATCTCTCTTATAGGCCCTGCAGAACTGCACTGGGTCCCGCAGGACACAGATGTAATTAGGCAGAGAGTTCCACTAGGTCAGTGCCAGGGCCAAAAATGCCCTGGCTTTGATTGAGGACAGTCGGATAATTTTCAAGCCAGGGATCACCAGGAGGTTCTTCTCCCCAGAGTGTAATGCTCTTCTGGGGGTATACCAGGAGAGGCAGTCCCATAGATATTTTGGTTCCAGGCCGTTTAAGGCCTTAAAGGTTAGTACCAAAACCTTGAATCTGATCTGGATATTCAACCTGGAGCCAGTGCAGCTGGTGGAGCACTGGTTGGATGTGTGCTGAGTGGCAGAGGAGTTCCAGCAAGGACCCGGGCCACTGCATTCTGGACCAGTTTTAGTTTATGGGTCAGCCTCAAGGGTAGCCCTGTGTAGAGTGCGTTACAGTAGTCTAACCTGGAGGTGACTGTTGCATGGATTACTGTGGTTAGGTCAGGGTGAGACAGGAAGGTGGCTAGTTGCCTGATCTGGCTCAGGTGGAGAAACACCAGTCTAGCAACTTTTGTGATCTGGGGCTCCAGCACACCCAGGCTCCTGGTGGTTGGTAAGGGTGTTAGAGATACAGTCAAGAGCTGGTAGTTGGCACCCCAGCCCTGAAACCCCTCCACCCAGCCACAGAATCTCCATCTTTGAGTGGAGTTACTATGTAAGTCATTCTACAGCATTTGGATTTTTTAGTTTCTGTATGCCGCACACACACAGACACACACACACACACCCCTTTCAATTTCCCCCCAACTCAGAGGCAATATCAGGGCAGCAACCGATTGGCCACTCATAGACCCAACTCAGCCTGTACACTCTCACCACCATACCTGCTCACTACATAGATGGTGAAATGTTTTTCATTAGAAGTAATCTAAGATCATAAGAACATAAAAAAAAATCTTTACTGTATCAGACCAGTTGTCTATCTGGTCCAGCATCCCATTACCATACAGTGGCCAATCAGTTGCCTTGTAGGGCCAACAAACAGGGCGCAGAGGCCAAGGCCTTCCCGATGCTGCCGTCTAGCATTAGTGTTCAGACGTTTGGTTCCCCTACAGATGGAGGCTCCCTTCAGTCATTGTGGCTAGTAGGTCCTAATGGACCTCTCATCCTCGAATCTTCCTAATCCCCTTTTAAAGCCACCTGTGCTCATAGCCATCATAACATCCATTGGCAATGAATTCCACAATTTGATTATGCATTCAGTAAAGAAGTGTTTCCTTTTATCTGCCATACCTATTGCCCATCAACATAACTGGGTGCCTCTGAGTTTGGGGGGGGGAAGAGTTCTCTTTACTTACTGTCTCCACCCTCTGCATGTTTTTATAAACCTCTGGCATGTTCTCCCTTAGCAGACTTTTTCTCTTCTAAGATCAGCCCAGTGTAAATGGAGCCAGGGACCAGGAGAGGGAGGTGAGAGAGGAAGCAGGGCTTTTATGATCCACCTGTTATTGTGTCCACGTGGAGGAGTGGTTCAGACTACCTCAGCCCTCAGAGGGCTTGACAGTGGGATAGAAATACACTAAATTAAAAACACATTCTAATACCCAATCATTTTTATGATCATGTTGATGGTTTCTATAGATACACTTCTAAAAATGTAATTTTTTAAAATGTAGCCTCATTGATTTTAGTAGGAACAATTGATTACAGCTAACATGTAAAAGTGCTCTGGTGCTTTGTTTTTCTTTAGTCAAGCCATGAGAGATGGATTTATTTATTTATTCGATTTTTATCCCACCCTCCCGCCGAAGCGGCTCAGGGCGGCTTACAACAATAAAACCAATAAAACAATACCTCTAAAACAATATACAATACATTAAAATCACAATTTACCCACATTATAACATACACAAGACGGCATTATAACATACACAAGATGGAAAGGAGAGATTACTTACAGCAGGAAAATGGTATAGAAAGGAATGGTGTGACTAAATTCTTGCCCTGTTCCTTACTACTCCAAATTGCGCTTCCGGTTTCAAAGTTGTTTTAGAAAAAATAATCAGGACACTGTCCCACATAATAACATGTAATGTATACTTTGACCCATATATGCTCCAAGATAAATGGTCAGTGAGACACATTGTGTTCAAGTATAGCCTCAGGGCAAATATACAGTACAGAATAATTGCTTGTTCTTTATCACTGATATACATAGGGATACCGGATACTGGTATCACTTTGTTTTTCCAAAGTGTTAACCAAGTTAATAAATCTATAACCCTTTTTTCCCTTTCTGTCAAATTTTTAATGTTCTTGAGGTATCAAACACATTCCAGTAGAGTGTTTTATAGAGATTATCATGATGAATGTGAAAATAAACTAGAGACACCTTTATTTAGGTGTTGGCCTGACTGTACCTCCTGCTTTTTCTGCTTTTCAGACCCTGGGTTTGGCTCTTCCATCATAGAAGGCCCCAGCAATTTAACAGCACTTGTTGGTACAGAGGCACATTTTCACTGTACAGTGTCAGAGGGCTGGCAAATTTTGATATGGCTTTTTGAAGAACAGCCTATACTGTCTGTTACTTATCCTGGAAAGGTAATAATAACAGATAAGAGCTACAGTCAACAAGGGTACAACAAAAGTACCGAGTTTACCTCAGAGCTGACAATATACAATGTTCAGCTGAATAATTCTGGAAGAATTGAATGCAGCATCCAGATACTGGGTGGCAATCAGTATGCATTTCTTTCTGTTCAAGGTGTGTATATGTTTTCTTCATCATTCAGTTTGTACACTTTTTAAACAAAAAGCTCTGTAGGCTTATAGCAAGAATAGTTCATGTTCCATGTAGATATTATTTCCTCTCTCCCCCCTTTTGTTCTCTCAAAAACCTTTAAAAAGTCTTGTAGCATCTTAAAAACTAACAGATTTATTATGGCATAAAATTTTGTGGACTGCAGAGTTCACTTAGTCATAGGCATAAAGTGAATTCTCAGTTGGCAGACATATGTGTAAGCGCACGCGCGCGCACACACACAAGTATGCAGGAAAATAATTAAACAGTGGTGCCAAAAGATCATGACATGGACGTGGCTGCAGTAGGTCTGTGACATTGCAATATATCAGTAAGATTGTAAAGGTGAGAATAATGACATTTTCACAGAATCAGGAACTGATAATACTATCATTAGCTATTCTCATTTACACAAAACCTTGCTAATTTAGAATTGCTACTCACCAGCAAGAGTGGGCATCCAAACATAGGCACAAACTCCAGAACAAATCCAAACAATCATTCTGTCCCCATACTGTTTAGAATCTAATGACCATCATACAATCAGTGGCTCATTTACTTGTTCATTTTCCAATGTGAAATGTACCATCACTTGCCAGAATACTCTCTGGGCAGGAAGATACATGGACGGACACAACTTTGACGTCCAAAATGACAGCTCGCAAAGGCCACTATTTCAGTCTCTCTGGAAAATTTGCAGCTGATTCCAATGCAATCACTTCAAAGGAAGGCTTTGGTGTGACACTACTGGCCTTGAATTTGTCAAATGTGATTTTGTTCAGCCTGAACTCAAGCCATAACTGCACCCTTCTCAGTCCATTGAAGTCAAGTGGCTCAGAAGGGTATTAAACCCTGCTTAGGATGGCACTGATAGTTAATTAGGTAGTATTATCACCAATTATTGAGGAATTTCAGACAGGCGATATATTCCGGTTCAGGAATGGTTCCCAAACGGTTTCTGGTCTGACATTTCAGACAGAACTGTTTTAGAACCGGTTCCCTACCGGAATATATTTGTACTTTCACACACAAACGCTTCTGTCCCATTCAGGAAACGGGGCTGAACCGTTTTACCTGTAAACCACTTCTAAGTAGTCTTCAGTTTCTTCTCCCGGATCTGAAACACTTTTCCCCGCCGTTTTTCGCCCACGCAGGCGATCTCCAGCTTTTTAAAAATGTTCACTTTAGAGCACTATAGCGCTATGACACAACAGCAAAACAGCATCGTAGCAACCCCATTGGAATGCCTGGAGTGTTGTGTTACAGCGCTATAGCGCTTTAAAGCGAACGTTAAAAAAAGCCAGAGATCGCCTGCGCAGATGAAAAACAGCAGGAAAAAGCGGGAAAAAGCAGTGCAGTCTGAAATGGCAAACCGCTTCAGATCCAGCTGTTTACCGTTGGGGAAAGCCATGTGTGAAATGGCAGCCCTATACCGGTTTACTCCATGACGGATCAAAAATGGCTTCAAACCGGCTTAAAAGGGTAATGTGAAATTCCTCATTGTTGTTGTGAGTAGATAGGGTTGCCAGGTGAGTCTGACAAGCTGGTGGGGGACTTACCAGGAGGCTCCATCACAATTAAAGGGACCACATTCATTTTAAATGACTTCCCTCCACTGAAAATAATGGAGGATGGGGTCACCTCCTTCTGGGGTTCATAGAATTGGACCCCCGGTCCAATATTTTTGAAACTTGAGGGGTTTTTGAGGAGAGGCACCAGCAGCTCTGCTGCAAATTGGGTGTCTCTACTTCAAAAAACAGCCCCCCCCCCAGAGCCCCTGATTCCCATGGATTGATTCTCCATTATACCCTATGGGGACCAGTCTTCATAGGGTATAATGGAGCACTCAGTGGCCATCCCCCTGCTTTCTGATAGCCCTGGAGCAGGGGGAGGGGCTTCAAATCGGGGATCCTCTGTCACCAACTGGGGATTGGCAACCCTATGAGTAGGTCAGAGCATAGAGTTTTCAGACTGATTGCTAGAGTGTCACCTGGCGCCATGCCCAGCGTCACTTCCAGGCAATGTCATTGTGGTGCGCACGTGCGCATGTCCCAGATTGGGACTGACTCTCCCCTGCTGCGCCAGGTAAAACACTTGGCAACCCTATGCATGGGAAACATTTAAAAATCTAATGTGCCCTTCAGAAATAATGAAAGGGGTTGATATTCAATTACAAGTGCAATGCCACCTTAGTGAACCGGTATCACAGATATTAGTGCCAAACTTATTTGCTTTGAAAATATTCACCTTCAGGCCAGTTTGGATAGATTGTAAAACATAATTTATCAGAAATTGAGCATGAGAGTCAAAATGCCCCATCATAGCAGAGTCTGCTGTGGTTCACTACAAAGGTGCAATTCCAAAACCTTTTCTTTCTGGGTGTACAAGCACTATTTCATCTTTGAGAGCGACCTGTTGATTCCAGCCTCTAGCCAAGATGTAAAGCCCACTTGTACTGTGAATTCTGCAGCTTGAATTGCCAATATGCTAGAAAAATACTGGTCTTGTTGGATTTTTTTTCCCTTTTGGGTCAGTTGCCGGAAAAACAACAACAAAACCAAATCTTTTTAGGTGATGAAATTATGCCTTTGGCTGTGTTGCTGGCCATAGCCCACACTGCTGGAATCTTTCACTGGGCCCATTATTATCTCCTGGGCTCCTTCCATTGCTTGCATCCCCCCCCCTTCAGCTAGCCATCTCCAACAACCCCAGTGATTTGCACCTTGGTAACACCTTCCCAAAATTCCTGTGATTGGTGGATACTGAAGCAGCAATTGGGAAAAACATTATTTACATATAGATGATGTACTCCTTGTGTTAACAATGCTGTCTATCACCATTTTTAAAGAATGCATTCAGAAACGTGTCATAAGCCTCCATACATTTGCCTCAAAGAGGCAAATTGTTACCTTTCTAAAAACATTGCAGTCAAAATAAATTGCATCTTTTAAAGGTGGTAATGAAAGGAAAAATATAGTATATGATCTCTTTTTGGAAAGTGACAGATCAGCATGACCACAGTGAATCAGTACTTTTTATTAATAAGAACTAGGGAATTGCTTCTGTGTCTGAAATTATCTCTGGGATGTTATATGAACAGATGTGAGAGACACTGAAAAGATAACGGAAACTAATCAGTTCTAGAAAAAGAGTAATATTTTTGTGCAATTTTATAACAGAGTATAATAAAACCAGAACTATGAACACTGTAAAATAAGCTATTCTGAAGGAAGAAAACTATCTTTTCTCCAACAGTTAATGGATCTTTGAATATCAAAGATCACAACTTGACAGTAAGAGAGAACCAAACAATTGAAATAGTTTGTGAAGCTGTTGGATGGGATCCTGCTCCACACATTACCTGGATGTTAAATAATATTACACTAGATAATTCAAATTATATTACCAACTGGAGTCAAGGATCTAATGGCTTGTACAATGAAGAGAGCATCTTGACCCTCATCCCACTGACCAATTCCTCTGTGATTTGCTTAGCTACTATACTTGCGCTCTCTAAACCTCAATCTGCAACTGTGGCTCTTCTTGTGTATCCTCCTCCAAGTAAGTGAATAGTCTCAACTATGCAATTTTGGGTCATTTTCAAAACCTTATATTTATTGTCATGCAATCTGATATGTACAAATATAAGGACTACAACTTGGCTCCAGGTTATGGTATTGTGTAGAATTTGTATTGTGAGAATGCTTAAAAGGAGTCCACAAAATCTGATGAATGTCATGGGGACTTCTTCATGTTATGATGTTCAACACGGAATGGCTCAGAGCACTCATGGCCAGTCTGGTGATGTGTAACATCGATATGTGCCAGGATGGCAAATAAAGGCCGAGTTCAGACTGGCAGTTTGAAGCGGGAGGGAGTCGTGGCAAAAAAGACCCAGAACAAACTGTTCCGGGTTTTCTCGTTCACACTGCAGTGACTGATTCGGGAGCATACTGAGAGGAGGCACAAGGGAGTATTCACATCGTTGGCCCAGAGGCACAGCTGTAAGGCGCGGCTTTTTTTGGTAATATGGAGATATGCGCTTATGCGCATAAGCGCACAAGAAAAACGCGGCTTTCGGCGTTCACACTTTGTTGGTGTGGGATAATTGCACTTTCCAGGGTTTGATACCACTTTCATCTGGTATCTTTTAAACTCGGGGGGGAAGCATTACAAGACGGGTTGAGTATGGCTGGGGAACGCCGGACAGATGTGCCTGTGTGAACGGCCCCTTTAATCCGGTTGTGGAACGTTTCTGAAACGTGCCTATTTTGGGGCAAACTGCCAGTCTGAACCAATGTTCCCTCTAAGCTGTTGAGTCTTGTGAGCAAAAATTCTACTTTGTGAGCTCCTGGCATTAAAGTTGCGAGCGAGCGATTTGGCTACGGTATAAATTAGTTTGCTCTGGATCCATCCTTCCTGAGCTAAGACAAAAATGTGTGAGCTGGAGGCTAAAAAAGTGTGAGCTAGCTCACACTAACTCAGCTTAGAAGGGAACACTGGTCTGAACTCGGCCAAAGTGTCACCACATTGTATTCTTTCCCCCCTAAAGATTAATGTACGTGTTCTTCTGGAATTTTGGATGGCTGTGAGTTGGAGATTGGTAGGGCAATCCTAAACATAGTGACACCTTTCTAAGCCCATTGACTCCAATAGACTTAGAAGGATGTAACTGTGTTTGGATTGCACTGTAATTCACTCTGGAAAGCAAAGCAACCATAATCACCTGATCATGCTTTAGAAGCTTTCTATGATTTGTGGGATTATTGTAATAAATTTGTTTCCCTCTCTTAAATGGGATAGCAATCTAGGTATTTCTGTGATAGCATGGGCTGCTAATTTTTAACTCTGTCCTTTTTATATAATATGGACTTCATTGCTTATTAATATGGCTACTGTGTTTTGTGCAGAATTGTATGGAATGGATTAGATGCAATGGACTGGATCTCATACATTTGGGCTGTGGTCACACACATGAAATAATCCACTTTCAATCCACTTTCAGTGCACTTTCCAACTGGATTTTGCCAGTTCACACAGTAATATCCAGTTCGAAAGTGTACTGAAAGTGGATTCAAAGTGGATTATTTAGTGTGTGTGACCGCAGCCTTGTTCTCCTAATGGTGGTGCTTTTCTTTGGTGTTAGGAGCCTCATGGTAATGCAATAGGCTGTGGAGGGTCTTCTTGTGTCAGTGAAAGATTCGATGCATACATTGGAGGAAGCACCACAGTCAGTGGCATTGATCTGTGGATCTAACCCACTTATGGGTTAGAATATATTGTCAGTCATTTTAGAGATGTACTTTTGCTTTTTTATTGCTTTCTTTGTATTCTTTGTATTTGTATTGCTGTTGTTAGTAGAAAGAATTTGTTGTTCAGTTGCACAGTCGAGTTGCGACCCCATGAACCACATCACGCCAGGCCCTTCTGTCTTCCGTTGTGCTCCAGAGTTTGCTTAATTTCATGTTCATTGCCTCAATAACACTGTCTAACCATCTCATCCTTTGCCGCCCCCTTCTTCTTTGACCTTCAATCTTTCCAAGTATCAGGGTCTTCTCCAGTAAGTGCTTCCTTCTCATTTGGTGGCCAAAGTATTTGAGGTTCAGCTTCAGTATCTGGCCTTCCAGGGAACAGTCAGGGTTGATTTCTTTTAGGATTGACTGATTTGATCTCCTTGCAGTCCAAGGGACTCTCAAGAGTCTTCTCCAGCACCATAATTCTAAAGAATCTATTCTTCAGCGCTCAGCCTTCCTTATAGTCCAACTCTTGCAGCCATACAGTACTACTGGGAATACCATTGCTTTGACCATACGGACTTTTGTTGGCAGGGTGATGTCTCTTTTTTTTATTATGCTGTCAAGGTTTGCCATCACTTTCCTCCCAAGGAGCAGGCATCTTTTAATTTTATGGCTGCAGTCACCGTCTGCAGTGATCCTGGATCCCAGGAACGAGAGGTCTGTCACTGCTTCCACGACTTCTCCTTCTATTTGCCAAGGAGTGATGGGGCTGGATGCCATGATCTTAGTTTTTTTGATGTTGAGTTTCAAGCCAACCTTTGCGGTCTCCTCTTTTACCCTGAGCAAGAGGCTCTTGAGGTCCTCCTCACTTTCTGCCATTAGAGTGGTATCGTCTGCATATCTGAGGTTGTTGATGTTTTTTCCAGCAATGTTAATTCTGGCTTCTGAATCATCCAGGCTGGCATTTCTCATGATGTACTCTGCATATAAACTAAATAAGCAAGGGAACAATATACATCCTTGTCGTATTCCTTTTCCTATGCTAAACCAACCAGTTGTTCCATATCCTGTTCTAACTGTCGATTCTTGACCCTTATAGAGAGAATAGGCCTTTCCAAAACAGATACTGAATTAAGACTGATGTGGATTCAGGTTGTTAGAGAGGGAATTTGGCTTCATATATGCAGAAATGACTGTTTACAGGAACTTCAGCTTGAACAAGAACTTGAGGCTGAATTCATTTTTGGTGATAACAGGACAAATAAAAAGAAGAAAGATGGCTTGGGTTAATATTTTCATCCGATAAAATATCAACAAAATGAAAAAGAATTGACTTTAACCTCTATTTCTTGATAGGGCTTTAGCTACTTATGGAAAGAGATGGGGACATGGCACAGTGGTAGAGCATCCCCTTGGCATGCCAAAGGTCCCTGGTTCAATCCCCAGCATCTCTAGTTGAAAGGATCAGGTAGAAGATGATGAGAAAAACTGCTGCCTGAGACGCTGGAGAGCCACTTCCAGTATGAGTAGACAGTACTGACCTTGATGACCCAAGGGTCTGATTCAGTATAAGGCAGCTTCATGTATTCATGTGAAGTCCTGGGGTGGATCAGAATCACAAACCTGGATTGAAATAAGGGGAAACTCCAGAATTCACATGAGTACATGAAGCAGCTTTATACTAGGTGGGATCTAGTCATCTTTTCCACTTTTTACTTAATCAGATACAATTATTTTCCTTACTAGAGCCCCTGTTGGACATGGCTTTTGTCTATGCAGGTCTAATGATACTCAGCAATAACCTCCAAAGGAAGTTTAGAAAATACTTTTGGCTTAGTTTGTACTGAATGCTCATCCCTACTTAGGAGCGGGACACTCCTGCAGGGCGTAGCAGGAGTGCCAGGGGCCCCATTGTGCCAGTGGGTGTTGAGCACTTCACCCCACTGTGAGCCTCCCACCATGTCCCTGTTCGCATCACCTTGCTTTGGGGGTTGCGGATGGCCCGGACATCCTGACAGCCCACTCGAGGTGCAAGTCCCCATGAATGCGTGACCATTCACCAGCAAATGGTACATGGGTGGCGGCTCAATGGGCAGAGGGGCACAGGAGACTGGGCAGCTGGGCCCAACCTTTCGTAATCTATCATTGAACCATTGAGGGATCCTCTGAACAGGGGAAGTGGGCAACAGTGACAACAGAGTTAGGAATTTCCACAGTTACTGAGAGCAGTGAACTGTGTGACAAATGGACATGGTCCTATCTCTGATTGCCCTTGACAAAGCCTGTCTCAGGCCATCTTCAGAATGATTGGCCACTCTGATTAAGGTTCCAGGGTTCTTGGAGAGGCCCACACATCTGTGCGGATGGCTGCTGCCCCCATGGTGTGAGCCCAATGCACCCACCTCAGGTAGTGGGTGCTCCTAGCTCTGAGGGCACCTGGCCCTCGGCTGCTCACATGTATCTGTGACCCCAGACTGCAGGCTTCCCAATGGACTCTTCACTCATGGTGACTCCGGTCTCAGGGGTTCAGTGGCAAGTCTCTGGGATCAATGGGCCATGATCATGAGTGGTGTTGTGGGCCACCACTGTGGGGACATGTGTCGTGGGGCTTTGGCTCACCAAGGTTTGCATAACCATACCCCCAACTGCTGGGAACCCTATGGCCTCAGTGGGCCCCCATAGGTGCAGCTCTCTGAAAGTGACCAGCTCACCCTCCTCATTGGAACTGGGAGCAGCAATGGTTCTGTTCTGTGGCAGGCGGTGAGCCACAGTCTTCCTTTGCTTGAGTGGGCCTGAGTAGACTTTCCCTCCCATGCAGGCCACATAGGGGGGGGGCATGGCACAGCCCTCATCACTCACAGGACATCACCCTGGCCATCCTTAGGAGGGAATCCCCCAGAGATGACTCTCTACACTCTTGGCCCCACCCCCCATGCCAAGCTGGGACTTGGGACCTCTGAAAAATGTGGCCAGTGCTGGTGTGTTGATTTGGCTTGGCACAGGGGTGACCTCATCCACCTAATGCATTTCCCCTCGAGGTGTGGTCCCCTGACAGCATTACTATGAGGCAGATGGTCATGGTGCTGCTATGTGGGGGTGGGGGGGTGTCTTCTAGTTGCCCACACATCCTTCCTCTCAGCTTGGGCTGTTGAACACACTGAGTACTGAGTCAATACAGAATGACTGACATTTATTAAAGGGACCCCAGTGCAAGCATTCTGCTTATTGACACGGCCAGGAGCTCGGGGCATCACAGCATGTCTTCTGTCTCCTCCAGGGTACAGTAGCCCATGGGTCTGGAGTCTTGGCTGCCAAATGGCTCTATGTCCTTTTGCCCTGCCCTGGATGAACAGACAGGGTGCATGAACGATTTGTGTCTCAGCGGGTGGCATTTTGATAATCCCTGTAGGATCAGCACCTGCAAATGGAGGGAAAGACAGGTGTGGCTGTTTGGGCATGTTCCTGGTTGACAGCATGCTGACCAGGAGGTGCTTTGGGGGGCTGCCCTGCTGTGCTGCAGGTGCCCCCTTGGGCACCTCGAGGTGATGAGGGGGCTCTCCAAAGGTCCCTGTCCTTGGATCTTCTTCTCCTCCTTCATCCTGAAGTCTGCCACCTTGGCAACTGGGGTGGTCACATCTCCAGCTGCACCAAGGCCATCCATTCTGGCTGGGGAAAGTGTACAGCCAACATGTGTTCTCATTTGGCACCCAGATCACTGGCCCTTCCCAGCTGTGATCACTGGGGGCAGTTTGGCAGCTATGAGGGCTCTCAGACCAGTGCTGCTTTGAGCTCCTACCCCTGCATCTACCTCAGCCAGGCCCCCATGGACCCTGCAGCCCTGTGTGCAGAGACTGTCAGAGGTGGGATCATCGCTGTGGCCTCCCCTGATGGCCGGGTTCTGGAGCTGGGGACACTGAGGGATTGGGATGAGAGTCCTGTGCTTTCCTTCACATGTGGAGCTGGCCTTCACAACCTGGGGCAGGAAATCAGTCCCTGTAGGGGGGAAAGCTGGGAGAAGTCAGCCATGAAGTGTGGACTTTGCTCTCCTTGGAGTATATTATTGACCAGTGCTCCCCCCCCCACTGGTGCAAGGTGGCCTTTCATGCTTCCCCCACCACCAAGGTACATGTGCGGTTGCACAAAGTCAGTATGGTAGGGGACTGTGAGACAGTGTTCCGTGCCATGTGCCCTACTTTCCAGATTGTACTGTGACCTGCAGAAAGTATTTGTAGGGCTGCGGTGGCTGTGATGGGTGCAGGAGAGGGGGTGCGGCTAGCAGGGTCGATGGTGATTGAGTGTGCCCTTAGCCTGTATCCTGCGCTGCTTGGGCTCCTGTGGGCGTGTCAGCCAGGGGGGAATGGCTTGTAACGTGAGCCAATGGACTATGCCACCATTTTCACCAATGTACGTTTATGTAGGTTTTAGGGGGGTGTTCCCACCCTGGAACCACTTTTAGAGCTGACTACTTGGGTTCAAACCCCCTGGAATGCCCCTGACCACCCTGGCTCCTGGGGTTTGTGCTACCACCCCACTGGCATTCAGCGGCGGTGGCTCTGCACTGCAGAAAATACATGGTTCAGCGGTGCTTGTCCCCTGTGTCATGTCCACCCTCGAAACGCGGGCATAACTCCCAGTTATGCTGGGGTTGGAGTTGGGCCCTTTGTACCCCCCTTTAGGATTCTTCTGTAATTTGTCTTAATTATATATTTGCTGATTTTATTTGCAATTAATTGTTTCAAATTTTGAATCATTGTAATCTTTCCATTTAGAGTAGTAAAACATTTTAAAGCTTTCTACTTGGTCTGGTTTATGACTTGGAAAGTTTTCGGAATGGTTGATGTTCTGGTAAACAAGAGGCACACTCAGAACCCAGAGTTGAAGAAAACCCAGTTGTGATTCAGGGAAGTTTCCAAACCATTTTCTTTGTAGCACCACCAATAAAAAGTAGTTCTTCATGGCTGTCATCATACTGAGAGGGTTTTAGACATGAGCTTATGATCAAACTTCACTGCAAACTTGCAATGAAATCAAAAGGCTTCACTCTTCTTATTAATTCTAATTCATTATCATATGAATCCACTTATCTTCTAGGTCAGTGATCCCCAACATTTTTTCAGCCTGTGGGTGCCTTTGGAATCCTGACACAAGGTGGTGGTTGCAACCACTAAATGGCTACTACAAGAGGCTACTACTAAATGGCTACTACAACCACAAAATGTCAGGGAATGAGGTTATGCATAACTCTGATATTAGGTCTTCAACAGTTCAGAGAGAAGCACTGTTTGATAGGATGCCTTTTGAAATTAACATACTGTTCATAAATATTTTCTTGCATAGATATAAAATAATTATACATATTGAGCTAGCTTAGAAATCCCGTCTGGCCATATCTGCCTTCATTTTGCAGGCATCTAAGGGTGCGTTCAGACGGCTCTTTAGATCCGCACGAGGCACAAGTGCCTCATGGATTTAAATGTAATGTCCAGACATCAACATCTGGGAAATGTTTGTCTTCCATGAGCATCCCATTTTGTCACACTTTGGAGCCGTACTAAAAAAGTACTAGTTAAAATCTGGAGTTTTCTGTTCCGACGGGCCAATCGCAGACTTGCCCCCATCTGATTGTTCAAGCGCGCAATTAAAAAATGGCGCCCAAATGGGTGCCATTTTTTTTTTTTAAAAAAATCTTGATTCTGCGCATGCGTGGATAAACAAGGCTGCGATATCATGCCTATGCGTATGCACAAAAAGTTGTTTTTTTCAGTGGATGCCGTCTAGACAATCCACAGTGGAAGCAGCGTGCGGTAAGGCGATTCCCCCGGGGGATGTCTGGTCATGCGAGGACAGATTTAAAAGATCAGGATCAAATTTTAGCTGGCATAATGGCGGGATTAGCTGCCCGTCTGGACGCACCCTAAATGTACATGAAGGAAAAAGGGGGGAAATGCTTCTTCTCCTGGCTCCTTAAAGGATTAGGATTTTTATATCAAATTTTCTAGGCACAGCCATTTTGTACTGCTTTGAAAGGGGGGCAGTTTCATAATGTTTTCTAGTGATAAAGTAATTTTAAAAAAATCAGTGACAAAGCAAAACAGATCATGAAGTCTGGGGAAAATGAATAAATCCTCTTGTCCAGGTATCTTTCATTGATACTGAAGTAACCTTAGGTTGCTATAGTGACATGGTGTTCTCAAAACCAAGGTAAACTAGATATCACAAAATGTAATTGCTATGTACTTATTGAGCTATCAGCAGAAGTCATTTCAGGGGGGAACGCGGGGGAACGCAGT